TTTTTTTTTTTTCCCTTTTTTTTTCTTCTGCGTGTATTTGTAAGTACCGCTAACTGACTGGCAGAGAAAAAAAGAGACAAACTGATTGATTGATCAGTCTGCTACTTTCTGAAAAGAGACCTTTCAACTAACTTGCACGCTGTAAAAAGTTTGTACGCTTCGAACGGCAAATATGAAAATTCACGGGCGGATAAGACAGATAACGAGTAAGATAAAGAAAGAAGATTTTCTGGGTATAGGAAAGGTCGTTTAGTTCAATATTGGTAAATAAACAAAGGAACGATTGAAATAAAAATGGCAAAAAAGAAGATCATTAGAACTGGAAACAGCCAAAAAGTCGAAGCTTTTTACAGCGGATGGTAATAAACGGCCGCCCCAACGAAACTGCAATCATTGTTGCAGCCGTCGACAGTGGGGCTGTGGACCACGGAGGTTACTGCAATTCCACCGCGCAATTCGCTTTCCCATTGCTCCTTTGGCTTCTCCGTTCACCGCCGGGTATTGTTGGCAAGCCACTATCTGCTGCTTCTTTCACACCTCCTCACCAGCAGGCAACCAAACTGATCACTGAACCGGTCAGTTCCAATCGTCTTCAGTGAGGATAACACACTACGGCAGAAAAGATAATTCGAATAAATCTGCGGAACGATAGCTGTTGGTTTCCGGTCCTTTTCTCTCTTTTCATCCTTCTAGTCATACTACAACTATTGTCATAATATATCCCCGAAAAATCTTGAGAAAACAATAGGAAATAAGATTTATATGGTTGTAGAACAGAAAAATTCCTTCTCTTCGCAATCACTATTTCACAGAATATGGGGCAGTTAGTAACAACAATAAAAAACAGCCGCTTTTACGTCTCAGCGGTTCTGGAAATTCAATGAACAGAATCAAAAGTAAACAAAACCTAACTAAACTAAACTTATCTAAACGAAAAAAAAAACTAGCGGAAAAGTGGAACAGTATAAAATAAATTGAATCGAACTAGCGTGACAGAAGGGGATGGAAGGAAGAAAGAAATATTCTGAGAAACTTTCCATGAGAGAAAACTTTCTTCAGTATTGTTTAGAAAGAACTGTTTGAAAGGAGAGTAATTTATACAAATGTTAAAAAAACAGTATCACATAACAGGAAATAAATAATTATATATATAATTAGATCAAAAAAAAAGTTTGCCGCTGTTACTGCATATTATTTTTGTTTAAAAATGTAAATAAAATTCTCTCTTCTTTTCTAAAACTGAAAACAAATTTCTGCAGAAAAAACTCATGAAATTTACTACTAACAACAGCGACAACAACAACAAAAGTATTTATGAATACTTATGAATAATCATAATTTAGCGATCAAATGATAACGAGAGGGGTGAAAGAGAGAAGAAAAAAAAAGAAAAAAATTTTGTCGAAAAGTTATATATATGCACAAATATTTGTATAGTTATTATATTTATCTAATTGACCAACTATTTATCGATTTGTCAGCACGGCAACACCCGACAAAC